TCGACCTCGCATAGGTCTTGTCAACAACTCTACTCATATACGAAAACGTCTATAAAATTCGAATGTTCATTTGGTTCAAAATGATAAAAATTTGCTTGAGTGAATTTAAAGGTGGATTTCAGCAAATTTAATTTTCTGGAAGGTTGATCTTGCTTATAGCTGTCAAAAAAGGTGCATACTTAGATTAGTACAGTTTTTGTGCTGCTAGTCATTGTAGGAATGCATAAAATGATGGTCGCAAATAATTTCGATCCTATTCTCAACTGAGGAGAGACATTCACATGTTAAAATCTGCCTCTAGAATGCCATCTGGTATGTAAATGAGGCATGAACTTACAAGAATGGCAGAATCAGGCATATCTGGATCTTCTTTTAGCGTCTCCAGTGCCGCAGAGACTATCCTTCTCGTAGAAACGGAGTCGGCAAGAGGTGGCACCGGCTGAGGGTTGGGAACCCTTGGTTCATTTGCGTACAAAGGAGAGTTGGACACGCCTCTGAGATGGAGTGGCTGCATATTTGCGTCCTCATCTTCCAGAATATGGTTCAAATTGCTTCTATACAACTTGTCATCCCTTCTAAAACCAGAACCTGATTCTGGTCTTCGGATTACTTCGGCTTATAATAAATAAAAACATGTAATGGAAAGTTATTAATAGCTGATGTGATACAAAGGGTAAATGTGCTGTGCGCGGGATTGAAAATAAATAAATAAGCTAAAGCTGTTTTAGCACTTTTAAATCAAAGTAAAGGAAACTAACTATTTTAGCTGGCAAAACTTATGCCAGAGATTAAGCTACCTCCAAAATAGACAATCATCATGACAACCTTTTAATCGGTAAATCCGGAGGATTTAAGGAACATAATTAAAGATGGCCTGCGATACAGACGCATGTAATCAAATTGACGGCTAAGCGCATAAAGAAGGATATGCCCGCTTATTGGAGTATTCCGAGCACACATATCTACGATTATAGATATCGAAATATAATCTCTCTGCGCATAATTCAGCTCAGAAAAGAACTTGGAACATCTTAGGTCGCTTGAGGTGAGGCAATAACTGTTAGTGGAATTATCCACAGTTGAATGAGTAAGCCTAATGTTGCTACTGAAGTCCCCCTAGTCTTGCTTTCCAAATGTTTTTTTTCATCCAGGATATACTGCAGTTTCGACCTTGTCCACATCTCATCAACGCCTAGAACAGGATTCGAA